TGGGATGCACCCCAGAGTGCTGCGTGAGCTGGCAGATGCCATAGCTAAGCCGCTCTCCATCATCTTTGAAAGATCCTGGAGAACGGGGGAGGTGCCGGAAGACTGGAAGAAGGCCAATGTCACGCCAGTCTTCAAAAAAGGCAAGAAGGAGGACCCAGGCAACTACAGGTCAGTCAGCCTCACCTCCGTCCCCGGAAAAGTGATGGAACGGCTCATACTGGCTGTTGTCTCCAAGCACACGGAGGACAAGAAGGTGCTCAAGAGTAGTCAGCATGGATTCACCAAGGGGAAATCTTGCCTGACTAACCTGATAGCCTTCTATGATGAAATGACCGGCTGGATAGACGAGGGGAGAGCGGTGGATGTCGTCTATCTCGACTTCACCAAGGCTTTTGACACCGTCCCTCACAACATCCTCCTGGGCAAGCTCCGGAAGTGTGGGATAGATGAGTGGACAGTGAGCTGGATTAGGAACTGGCTGGATGGCAGGGCCCAGAGAGCGGTGATCAGCGGTGCAGAGTCTAGTTGGAGGCCTGTGGCTAGTGGGGTCCCCCAGGGGTCAGTCCTTGGTCCAGTCCTGTTCAATTTATTCATCAATGACCTGGATGAAGGCACAGAGTGCTCCCTCAGCAAGTTTGCTGATGACACGAAACTGGGAGGAGTAGCTGATACCCCAGAGGGCTGCACTGCCATCCAGAGGGACCTGGACAGACTGGACAACTGGGCGGTGAAAAACCTCATGCAATTCAACAAGGCCAAGTGCAAGGTCCTGCACCTGGGGAGGAATAACCCCAGACACCAGTACAGGCTGGGGACCGACCTTCTGGAGAGCAGCTCTGCAGAGAAAGACCTGCGTGTCATGGTGGATGATAAGTTGACCATGAGGCAGCAGTGTGCCCTCGTGGCCAAGAAGGCCAATGGAATCCTGGGCTGCATTAAGAGCATCTCTAGCAGGTCGAGGGAGGGGACCCTGCCCCTCTACTCAGCCCTGGTGAGGCCGCATCTGGAGTACTGTGTCCAGTTCTGGGCTCCACAGTACAAGAGGGATGTGGAGCTGCTGGAGAGAGTCCAGCGCCGGGCTACAAGGATGATCAGGGGCCTGGGACATCTGCCCTATGAGGAGAGGCTGGGGGAGCTGGGCCTGTTCAGCCTGGAGAAGAGAAGGCTGAGAGGGGATCTAATCAGTGTATATAAATACCTCAAGGGAGGGAGTGCACAGGACGGTGATGGTCTCTTTTCAGTGGTGGCCACTGATAGGACTAGAGGAAATGGCCGGAAACTGAAACATCAAAAGTTCCACAGGAACTTAAGGAAAAATTTCTTAACAGTGAGGGTGACAGAGCCCTGGAACAGGCTGCCCAGAGAGGTTGTGGAGTGTCCTTCTCTGGAGATCTTCAAAACCCGCTTGGATGCAGTCCTGTGCCATGTGCTCTAGGTGTCCCTGCGTATGCAGGGGGGTTGGACTAGATGATCTCTAGAGGTCTCTTCCAACCCTAAGCATTCTATGATTCTATGATTCTATGCCACCCTGTGCCGCTTGGTATCCCTGCTGGAGCAGGGGGGTTGAACTATATGATCTCTGGAGGTCCCTTCCAACCTCAGCCGTTCTGTGATTCTGTGTGATTCTGTGAAAAGGAGAAGGACTTTCTGTTTTTACACCTTGATCATATCTAACCATCAGGATTACCAACTTCTGAGTGTACTTTGGCCTTTTGGGGCACGTTTTGTATATTTCTCTTCTTCTGCTGCTCTTGTATCCATTTCCTAAGAGAAGAAGACTGCTATTAAATCTAGTTGCCAACTGCCTTCATATTATAAGAGCATCCCTACCTGACGACATTAAAAAGCTTCATTAGTATATCCCTAATTTCATGCCAAGGTGGAAGCTTTTCCTCTTTTCTTTCCTCTCTAATTGCATGAGCTGTAAAATCCTTCACAGTTTATTTTTAATATCGTTTCCCAGTTTTGGCTTCCTTTTAAACAAGTCCCAATTCACAGCTGCGCTTTCAACTTGCAAAAGGTAACTTCTCGCTGAGCAGACACAGTCACGTCTGCAAAGGCTCTCCACCTTCTGCCTGCGGGTTTGAATGCTTTTTTTGAGGGATGCTCAGCTAAGTCTGGAACATTTCCTGCTTAGCTTTTTTTCTCTTCCCAAATGCTAGGTATCTGGGGGGTTTTAGTGGGAATCCCTAGCATATGCTATTTTAAGCATCTTTTTCAAAATGTCAGAGCAGTCCCTGAGTTGTAGGAACTTAATAGTGTCATTCCTTTGCTCCCTCATTCCTTCTCCTCTCCTTTCTTTTGGGTCTGCAGCTTTGTGCTAGATCTTTGCATCTTTGTCCTGTGAGCGTTACACCCATCTTCTGACAGGGAGCAGAGCAGGTTTGCTACTAATGGTTCAGACCCACCTTTCCTGCCTGCAGGTAGGAAACCCCTGTCTCCTGCCCTCTCTTCTTTCTCTTGTGTGCAGATCACCTTGCCTCCTGCACTGCTCACAGTCCTCCCTAGGTTTTGTCCTATTGTTCCCCAGCTTTGATCTCCAGATCCCTTCATCGTCTCTTCCCTCTTTCACCATCACCTCTCCCTTTTGTTTTTGTGACTTTCTACATTTCAATGTGCTCCAGTGCTATCTTCTGCTTTCTTAGGTGATCATTCGCCTTATCAAACAGTTTATTCTCTAGATATTCTTACTGGGCAAATTTTGAGCAGTCTGTGCAGCTGTCTTAGCCCTTTCCTTTAGAATATGTACACATCCTCATTTGAACTCCACGTTTGCCGTCAGCAATGTCCCTAGTCCATCGATCTTCTCTTTCAGGACACCTAGAAGGCTAGACCTCATAAATAAGTAGCCCTTCTCAGATACCCGCTCCAGGATCGTAATGCACATCTTACAACTCCTGCTCACAGATATAGCTACGACTGCTCTCTGACTTGTGTCCCTACCTCCTGCAGTTATTAGGGTCTTCTCTGATCAACCTCAAGCCTTAGCAAAGGAGGGAGTAGAAACCCCACTAATTCTCATCCAGACTTCGCCACTTACATTCTCAAAACAGATATGGACACAGAGATGAGTCACCTGCTTATCTAGGTGTGCATCATATTACAGAAACCTGATAAGAAACATTGTCCCAGGCTCCCTTGATCACTGATATATGAGCCAGGTACAAAGAAGGTGTAGGCATTACCTTCTCCTCCTGCAGCCTAAAGGATGCTTCATGTGTATGACATCTCTGGAGTGTCTTGGTATGAAGCCTTGGGAATCACTTTTGTAACAACTGCCTTGTGTATGAAGTCTCACGCTGGCTACGTATGCAGGTATTGAGAAAAGGGAAAAAATAGCATTGCCAATACAATTTTAAGAAGGAGTTCAGAAAGAAATTTGCTCTTGTGATTGTTTTCTTGAGCAATACTAGCAAAAACCAAAACAACCTCCCAAAATGTTAATGAAAGGTTTCTATTGCTGCCTTTCAGGATGTACTTCTTTCCATCCTCACAGGCAGAAGCTTAATCTTGTCTAATTTTATATTGAGGGCCAAGAGAGCTTGTGTATTGCCAAGAGAGCTTGTGTATTGCCAGTTCAGGAGTCCTGATCCTAGGCTGTGCTGTGGGTAATGTTTGGTGTCCTTACAGCTGTGGGGTAATCCTGCCCTACCTTTTCACCTGTTTAGAGAAGACACTAACATGTAAGAAAATGGTATGACTTATTTGCTGAGCTATTAGGGCTTCAAAACAAAACACAACGCAGGAGAAGAAGGCCATATTAAGCACATGACGTCTGCTCACTACACCCTATGGAGCACAGTAACTTGCATTTGGCTAAGATACACGTTCCAATAAGGCCTAATCTTTTTTTTTTTTTTTCTTGAATGATTCCTTTGGTGTTCTTCTTATATCTTCCTCCTTTCACTTTTCTCAACAGGTCAGATCTGACCATGCATTATTTATTATATAATTAATACAGTATGCCATACTTCCATAATACCATAGCTTTTGTCACCTGCCCCACTTTTCTTTCCTTACAATTCAATTTGGGGATAAAATGGGTATATTGAAGAGTGGAACTCAATTGTAAGTATAAGCAGTATATGTAGTATAGTCCCTTCCTCTTACTTCTCCCATGGACTTTACTGAATGGTGCTTTGAAGGAAACAGAGAGATCTAATTCCATTTGGGACTCCCAGCGTTTTCACTCTAGGTGTAATTACTGTTACTCTTGCACAGCACTAAGGCCATCATCTTCCCCGCCTGCCTTCATCAGTTCTGTAGCTCAGGAGGAAATGGACGGTGCACATCTGACAAATTTTGCCCCAAGTAGCCATTACCCTTCAGAGGACCCTCCTCGTCTAGACACAAGTTAAAAAAAAAACACACACACAACAGACAAAATCCCATATTTTTGCATAGGAAAATACATCTTCCGTTCCAGTCTTCCTTTTCAAATTACATTTTAGACCCTTAATTAAATCAATGGAGGAAATGGACTCTCCTCCTCTGGGGGGAGCAAGGGAGGGGGATTGGAGGTGGTGAACGTCTGCTCTCTTTCAGCAGTACTTAAAGAGATTCCAGCAAGAGCCATTGCACGATGGCAACAGGCATTCGTCCTTCAGACAGTGACTGTTTTCAGTCTGGACACCCTAGACATTTTGATTAGATAAACAAAACGGGTCCTGTACCATAGCACTGGGATTGCAAGTTTACTCCATTTTGCAGCAGACTGTTAACTAATCTCTCGAGAGAAGTAGCAATAATATTTTAATTATTTAGCTGGTAAGATATTTATTGCTGCAGTTCTTTTTAAATAGTAGCGGCAGGGGTCTGGTTTATAGTCACCATTTGAGATAATATATTCTGAAGCGATGCTGTCAACATCGTACTCCTTGTGAAAAAAAAGATTGAATAAAGAGTATAGCCACCTCATCGGGGCATCTTTGCGTTACCTGTTGTGCCTCAAGCGGTGGGTGTTTTGCACAGTGCACATTGTGGGTATGCTGGTAACTGGGACAGCAGGGAGCTGTGTGAAGACTAACTCAGTAGCAAAGGAAATGCTGCATGAGGATGGAACACAGAAAATTCACACCATGGTACTGCTGGTTACAGCAAGATTTTCCTGCATATGTCCATATTTGTTTTATCCACAGATTTCACAAGGTGCCATCCCCTCCTTGGCCGGCTTGAATTCAACCCTGGTTCACCAGCTTGCCCAGTGAGCCCCTTGAAGCAGCATCTCCACGGAGCATAAACAGAATGGTATGAAATGGCTGTGGTATGAAACCTGGTTCTCTAATGCAGAAAACGAAGCTGGACCTATTTGCATTTCCCCCAACAAATCTTCCAACACCTACAAAGTTTTCAGGTGGTCTTTAGTTTTAAATGGCACACATTTTCCTCTGAGCTCTTCGGGGGAAAAGGTTTAATCAGAAACTTTGGTGTTCGCCTCTGTCCTGCTCTCTGCTCCCAGCTGCGATGAATTCTCCTCTGTTCTCTTCAACCAAGTGGAGTTTTTTTTCCCTTAGACTGTCTTGGAAAACACTCTTCTCATTGAACAGCTCTGCCATATATTTTTTTAGTGATAGAAAATTCTACTCTGGGCATTCGAGACAAACAACACGTGGAAACGTGTGTTTTCTCGACATTCATATTTCTCCTGCTTTTTAGTTCACATCATCCTTTGCACTTTTATTTCTTTCTCTTCTTCCTTCCCTCTCTAGTGAGACAGCAACTCTAAGTTTCAAATCAATCTTCTTAAGCTCAGAAGTGCTCAGAAATGGCAAACTGGCCTCCCCTTCCTTGTTTTAAATGACTAATTATTCTCCAGGGCAGACAGGGAGCTTTCAGACGGAAGGAGATAAGGCAGCAATGCGCGGGAGAGCTTGTTTCCCCGCGGAGCTCCTCTCCCTTTCTGCAGCGGAGCACTCCCAGGCAGGTAGAGGAGCATTTGCATGGCCATCCCACCTTGAAACACTTTCATCTGCCCGTTCCCAAGGCACTATTTGCATAAAGAGCAATCTACGGGCGAGCCGTGTAAACAGTCTCGCCTCTGCATCAGAAATATCGTCTAATTTCTTTCTTAAACGAGCAAAGCACCTTTATGTGCTGAACCATTTTCAGCTGGGAGGTATCCCAATAAAACATTAAAGGTATTTTAATAGGAGGGTGGCCAACTAGAATTTTAATTACTATCCACAGAGCAAAGTGGATGAAGAGAAGTGAAAGGTAGAGCAGCATGGGGCAAAATATTCAGGCATCTTTTCAAGTACAGTCTGTGTCAGAAACTACTGAAAACCTCACATAACCAGCTCTTAACTACAATGGACAAAAATACAAGATGCAAAGAGTGCACCATCAAAAAAAAAAGAAACTTAAAACATTAGGTATAGAAAAGGATATACCTTTTTATATTTAATGTTAAAGCCATCCAGGTCATTATTCTCTGGTTGCCTGCCCCCTGCCTGCATGGTCGTTTTGAAGATGGGCTGCGGTGACCTAGCGCACAAGCAAGACAAACTGAGCAAGTGCCACACCAAGTGTCTCTTCAAATCACACACATCTATTTATGCTGTTTGTAGCCAAAGTCTTTGCTAGTGCTTTCAGGTGGCTGCTATATAAATCCCTAAAGTTTGAGGTTATTTCCTAAAGTCCAGGTCTTAGTTCCACCCTCCTCCGCTGACAGCTGCAGGGCCTCCTTCCCACCGCACCCTCATGCCAGGCGTTTTTTTTTTTGGACAACTGGCAGCCTGTGACCGTGCAGGCTCTTACGCACCTCAGTGATTTGCCTGCGTGACCGAAACGCAGGCTGTGCTGTTTAGCCCTGTACACACGTCATGTAGCTTGCAGCCTTTGGGACAAAGCAGGGCAGAAAAAGAAAGGGAAAGGAGGAGCAAAGGCCAGGTATCCTCCTGAATGAGGATACTCCTCTCTTTTAAATATCAGCATCTCTAGATGCACCGATATTTCTGGGTACAGCAGGTGCTTCTTTGCTCCTTGCTCTAAGCTGGTCTCCAGCAAAACTCTGCTTAAAAGCTCTCTCTCCTGTATCCGTTTTCTTTCAGCATGTTTCCAGTGCCACTTTGATTCTGCTCTTTTCTGCACGCTCTCCCTCATCATTTTTTTCCTTTTGCTTTGTGACATGAGATTGCTGGCCCACAGCTAAACAACACACTGGGAAACCCTCCTAGAGCTCTGTGTTTTCAGCTCAGCTGTGAACCCTTCAAACACACTGCTCACACTTTTGAGAGAGTCTTTTTTTCCATCCTTTTCTTGTCCCTCCTAATCTGCCTATCTCTGCATTCCCTGCATTTCCTCATAGCACAAAGGGAGCAGTTTCACTCAGCACTTCCAGCAAGTTTAACCCGACCCATAACACCAGCGTTGTAGTCAGCTTGCTGAGAGCTGGAAAAATTAGACATACCTGTTTGTGGGTAATTATGCAACATGCAGACAACAGAGCAGCCTGCTGGATCCCATTCCTCCCTCCGTTCTGAGACATTGCCCTTGGTAATTGCATATTGTGCAAGCTCGGAGGCATGGAACAAGATTGCCTTGCCTCAGACTCGGCGTAAGAGGCAGTACCAGAGCAGGGGAACAGTCTAGGAGGAAAAAGATATATGATGCCTATTCTACAGATGAGGAATGGGGTATAGAAGCAAGTAATTTAGCCAAAGATGTGTTGTGGGGGTGGGGTTAGAGCTGGAACGGAGCTGTCGTAAATATTTGTTCAGTAGCTCTGGCACAGAGCCATCTTTCTGAGATAAGATCTAGGACAAAATGGAATGGTTTCATGATGTTCTGCAGGAGCCACAAATTCCACCTCTGTGCGTAATTCTTTCTGAAAAACAGTTTCTCATTTCCCAGTTGATTATATGTGAATCTCCAAGAGTAATTGAACTTTTAGGCCTGTTAGTCCACATGATGAAAAAGGAAGATTTTCTGGACTCTGGAGGAGAATGCACCATACACCCTGGCATAGGCACTCATGCACCTCATTTTCTGTGAATATGGTGCAGCAGCTTAAGCTTATTCCTGGCTTCTGCTTTCTGTGCCTGCGAAGGTGGTTCAGACATGCTTTTGGTCTGGATTGCTCTACCTGGGAGAACAAAGCCAAGCAAACTTTCCCAGCTTTGGCAACTATTTGTGTGCTATCATGGAGAAGCTATTGCAATTGCACTAGATCAGACAATGAAAATTCTCAGAACTTCATTTGATTTTTAACTGCACTTCTGCAAGACTGCGCTTACTCCATTCTACTTGTCAGTATAATATAAATATAGCTTGATCAGCATAAATATAGAAAACTTTTCAAACAATCACTGCTTTCCACATGCAGCCACTGCAGCAGAGTGGCATGTCACTTGCACTGCATGTAATATCGTGTATGGTTGCACAGTTACCAAAATGCATCAACATATTTGCAAGGCAACAGCTTACTGAAAGCCTGATTTTACCACTGCTAACACCAGAAGCTGGAGAATATAGAAATAGAGCTATGAGGCAGACCTGCATTGAGCGCTCATTTTATGCACTGCTGTGCCAAAACTCTAGGTGCTTTAGACGCCTCAGCAGGGCCCTGCTCATTCCTCCTGCCCTAGCCATATAAATTCCTGATATGGTCTCTGGAGGTGTGAAGGGAGGCATCACAGGCACCCAAGGGTTCCTTTCTACTGCGAGTGGCTCCCTCTGCCACCCACCATAACTGATGGGAAGTGTTAGGTGTTTTCATCACAATTAGGGCACTTAACAAGACAATAAACACAATTTCTAATCCCCTCCCAGCTCAAGGAAGGTTGCATTTGAGCCTCTTACACCAAAGCCAGCTCTATAACCCTGGGCCTGAGAAAATTCGAGGCAGAGCACTCACTCTTCCCTCCATGGGCCACTGCACCCAGGAATGCAACACGAGCATTCCAGTATGACCTAGAGGTCCAGCACATACGTGGGAGTGGAGTGTCCTGTTCCACCAACACGTTAGCCCATTGCCGAGAGGGAATCAGCTCCAAGCATGTCCAGCTCCTCAGGCCATCCCAGTGAAGACAAGTAGTTCAAGACACCTGTCTGCCTGAGCTGCAACAGCTCTGAGGAGGGACAGAGCCCTGTCTCCAGTCCATCAGGTGTGTCCAAGCATGGAGAGGTGACTACCGGGATGCCCTGGTATGGAGGCGCCTGGCAGTGCAGTAAGCAGACAGGATTAATCTCTGGGCCTTAGGCTTTAGGCACCTAAGTCTCAATTTAAAAGTGGGCTGGATACTGTTCAGAGCTAACACTTCATTTTCCTTGTTCCTTTTCCAGGTCTTTCATAACTTCTCATCTACCAGATCTCTCCATTTAAGTTCCTCTCCTACTAGCACAAAGGTACCAAACACAAATAGAGCTGGTCAGAATAATTTCAAAGTGATGTTTAGTCAAATATCCCCCTACATGAAAGCTGAAACATCTCAGAGGAACATGAGCATTTCAACAGTTTTGCTTGTGATCAGACTGTACCCCTTCAGTTGCAAGCCTGAGGTCTTTCATCTCAAACCAGGGACTTCAGTGCAGCTCCCTTTCACAAAAGCATTTGAAAGGGGCTGTTTTGTGATTTGTTTCCATGAAAGACAAACTTCAAAAACCTCAATGACTTTCCATGAGATACAAAGACTGTCCTTCCTTCCCTTTTGCTCCAGCCCTTCATGAGAGAAGGATTCAGGCAGCTGCCTTCATGCTGGTGATCCAAGGAAGGGTGGCTGGAAGCACAGTGCTGGTTCTCCCTCTTGCTTTCCTTAAAAAATATGCAATAAAAGAAAGTAAGAACTCACTGATCATCTCCCTCATTTCTCCTGAAAAGACAAAAGAATAAATTAGTAGTCACTGTATTAAAACATGTTTCATTATCGAAATGTCTGGCAACCTTTTCTATCATTTTCTCTCCCAACACATGCCTACCTAATCTTTAGAAAGTTTACTTTCTAAAGCTGTTGCATAAGGAATGATCCACCTTGGTTTATACCTTCTAAAAAGACACTTGATAGATATTTTGTGCAATTTTTGTGCAATTGTTCAAGATACAATAGAAATAATAAAAAAGAGGCTATTTTCTAACTCCTTTAGTGTACATTAATATGGCTATATTTACTGTCAGGACGCAGTTTTCCCTATAGTCCATCTAACCCTTTTTAAAACATTATTGGCTAGAAACTTTTCAGACCGATAATATATCACAGTCCTTCTGTTATACGATGATTTCCACCCTTTAAGATGTCTGGTTTATCAGTCACAAGAACTACAAACTTTCCTGAAAAATAAATTATTTGCCTTGGAAATTGATAACATTAGAGTCAAAAGTGCAATTAAGATTCAGGAAACTGCCTTTGGATGATGTGCGCTCTGACTAACGCAGAAAGATTTTCTTTTTTCTACCTACCCTTTAGCCTTTTGTATTTTTGGAGTTCAATTTGCATTTGAAATCAAGGCAGTTTTGGATGATGATGCAATTTTTCCCTTTAAACAGATCTCATGTTAGGTTCCTGCCAGGTGGAATCCTGTATTACTCTTCCAATTCCTCATTGCATTTGCAGCTAGTTCATATGGTCATATGAAATTACAGTCAGTATAATGGAAGTGTTTCATTTCAAAACTCATAAACTTATTCATCCCCTGAGTCATCACCAGCTTTATGCTTGCTTGTATCAAAGTCATCTTTCAATGGGAATGAATGACATACTAGATTATTTCAACCTAAAAGGAAGAAGCTGGATTCCAAGAGAAAAATACTAACAATTTTGAAGTTGATGTCCAGATAGGTTATTTTCTACCTAATATATTATTGATTTATTGTAAAAAGATTTTCCACTTAAAGCAAGGGGCTAGCGGCATTTTGCATGGAGGAGAGGGAAGGAACTGAGGGGCAATAAGTGATAAGAAATTAATCTATTAAAACAAATGATGCTAAAAAATTTTCACTGAGGAAATAAGATGGTCAGATTTAGATGGATTGGTACAATTTGGTGGCTTTTTTTTCTGCTTGAGATCTTGTCTGTGAAGTCCTCTGAGCTCTCAGACAGGCAGGGAGCAGGTAGGAGAGCATTTTTGGAATCACAGAATCATAGAATGCTTGAAGTTGGAAAGGACCTCTAGAAAAACAGAGTTTTTCATTTGTTCTGCCACTGCTATGATTTCCTGATTTTTTTATGATTCTTACAATTTTTTTATTTCGGGGTCAGACATACATAAGCACTCTAGAACTTATGGAGAGGGAGTACTTGTAATTCAGCAAAACTGCAGCCAAACCAAGATTATCCATCTATGCCGAGTTCGGATGCTGTTGCATTGCAATGGGCTGGACAGGGTTTTGGGTCTGCTCACCAGAGGCACTGACCAGGCTGCAGCTCAGACACATGTAGATGCTACAGCCCCACACCTGGGGCCACCACAACTGGGAGCAGAGCATGGGCAGTATGCTGAAGCGATTGCTGCAAACTTTGTTAGTTTAAATAGCGTTTAAGTTTAAATAGATTTATGCATATTTATAGATGAGCACATGGCCAAAAGGGACTGTTGTGAGTGATGCTCAGAAAACATCTGACAAGAGCTCTTGGATAAAGACTTCCTCCTTTCTAGTACCATAAGTTTTCAGGGTACTGAATCAAATGAATGGTGGTGCATGTCACAGCATGGAAGAAGCTGGCAACTAAAAAGGTGCTGAAAATACCTGATATTTTAAAGAAGTCATCCACAACTGAGATGGCTACCTGTACATGTCAGTTTCAATGCAAAGGGATAATGTCTTGACTGTCTGTTTAGTAGAATATGCTCAGGCTAAGGGGCTGACCATTCATTCAAGAATACTCATTTCCTTTAGAATTCCAACAGAAAAAAAAGTCAAATATGAGGGACTAAGATTAAAAATAAATAAAACAAAACTGACAGCAAGGTCCAAAATAGCAAGCATCTGTCCCAGTACAGAAAGAGTAAGCTTCAAGTGTAAGCACTTTGCAGCAAGGTCTTTTTATTTGATGTTCCTGTAACACACAGCACAGCAGGAGGTTGGTACATGTGCTCCTGGCGTCAAATCCACAAATGAGTGAGGCAGATAAGACGAGTGCAGCCTAATATTTTTAATAAGTCCAGCGAGTGAAAGGAACTGTTTGGTTCAGTACAAGACAGCCCTGTTCCTGAAGAACATCTCCTCCGAGCCCTCGAGAGGAACCCAGGCACACTTGAGAAATGCTGTTACTATTTCACCAGGGCAAAAGGCCTTGCTCCCAAGAAAAAAGAGCTGGTGAACAACTTTACCCCCACCCGCAGTGGGGCTGTAGCACTAACTGCAGTGAAATTTCTCCACCTCCATGAAGAGATGCAAAACCAGATTTCCAGGAGGAAAGTGGGTCACAGGCTGTTATCTTCCTGCTTAGACTCCAGCACCAGAGGCAAGACACAGGCATGCTGCACTGAGAGAAGCAGAAGCCCTCGATCTAGGAAGAGCAAAAAGCAACTACACACCAAAGGAAGGCTTTTCTACTCTCCGTTCAGGTGTCAACACTTGGCTGCTTGCTATAACCCACATTATTAATCATAAAAGTCTCGAGACTGCAAGGAAGTGGCATAGATAAATTTTATTCAGCTGTCAGGGTGGTGCAATATCTAACATATAGCTTGTCCTTCATCAATGCACTCCTCTGTTTATTAGTAAGAATACAGATCATGCCATTAGCAGAAGCTATTCGCTAGAAACAGTATTTTATTTTGCCAGAGCAGAAAGTGTTGATTTTTGCTCTAGCTCCAGTAGGTTAGTGACTAACTGGAAGCCATTCATACTTTTAGAGCCAAGGTGGTAAACAGGTGAGTAAAAATAAGGTCTTGTGTACTTCCTTTCTCTGTGTTATTAAGTGAAAAAAAAAAAGAAAATGCACATCCAGTATAGCTGACAAAATTCAGCTGTATTTCTGAATCTATATCTATATTTCTGATATCTGTATCTGTATTTCTGATTACATCTTCTATTCAGAGGTTAATGGTATTTGATGTCAATACTGTAGCGGATGTTTTCCTATCTGAAGTACTGCCAAAGCAGAGCCGCATTCCAGGCTTGCACTCAGAAAGCAGTGCAGGTGCATGCCCAAGTACTGATGCCAAATGTAGAGTTGCAGGGAATGCTCCAGCTTGTGGCTATCAGCCTCTCTGATCCCACCTGCAGTTTCTGGAGTCAGAGGCTTGCCTGTAAACCCCTGGAAGAGCAGATGACAGAGGAGAAATCTGGTGCCATGCCTAAGCAGGTCAGCAGTAGCCCAGTCACCACACACATACTGGTTCAGACATGGGGGCTTTGACTCCCTAATTAATGGCCTACCCAAAAGAAGTGTTGGCCTCTGTGGCCATGTCTGATATTCTCTATTCCTGTTAGCTCTTAAACTGTAGCTTAAGTGGTACTTCACCTTGTTCACTATCTTAACTTTGGAGAAGGAAGTCCTTGAACATGGTGTAGAAGTAATGAAGAACAGACAATTTATTTTACCTCTGTGCGTTATTTGAGTGACAAATGTAGACCGATGAACAGAAGAAGTTTAGCAGGCTACCTATCACCAATGTGCCATTCACCCTTTTGCGACCCTATAGGGGAAAACTATATATAAGTTATGTTGCCAGTTTTCAGGTCTTCAAAAATAAGCCTTCCAAAAGAAATGATCCAAGTTGTCACATCTTAAGGGGTTTTGGTTTGGTTTTGCATTATAAATAGCTCTAAAGAATCCAAACCAGATCCATATTAATTCACTGAATGTTAAAAAAAAATAAAAAATAAAATAAAAATAAAAATCTCAGAAACATTAGAAATAGGACACTGGAGAAGAAAATGGATGAAAAGGCAAAATGAGATTGTTTTCAATGGAAAAATAAGAAGGCAGCAGAAAAGGATATGTAAACCAAATATTAGATAATTAGATGATGGGAGCTCATGTCATTTTTTTTTATTCCTCTGCACTTCATTGCCTATTTATAAACAAGGAACATTCCAGAGTATGAACATGTAGCAGTTCCACTTATCCTGAGAAATCCCCCAGTTCCTTGGTGTTTCCAAGATATTTTCCTCAATTGATTTCATTTTTCTGAGCACAGGACACATCAGGGTTCAAGCATCTAGCAGTAACTGATATCAAGACCTAAACACTTAATTGCTCCATTTCTTCTTCTTCCTCACTCTTTCTGGCACCACAGCTTTTACATATTCCCTGATAAACTGGAGCTCTCTAGAGAATAAGCACCTGTCCAAAACACTGTTCTCACAGTAAACCAAATAATAAATATATATATATATATGCATATTCTCTGCCACTCTTACCCTCTTGTCATGGACAAGTATATGCTCTGGGTAAGTTTTC